TCCTCTTCCTCTTTCTCCTCCTCCTCCTTCTTCTCCTCTTCCTCTTTCTCCTCCTCCTCCTTTCCTCCTCCTCCTCCTCCTCTTTCTCCTCCTCCTTCTCCTCTTTCTCATCCTTCTCTTTCTCCTCCTCCTCCTCCTCCTCCTCCTCCTCCTCCTCCTCCTCCTCCTCCTCCTCTTTCCCCTCCTTCTTCTTTCAGGCTCCATCATCATCGTAAGTCGAGGACAAAGAATTGGCAGAGTTCTCCATTTATTTATTTTTATTTTTTTTAAAAGTAGAAACTTCCTGGAAAGCAAAATCGCAGCGAACGGAATCAAACCCTTGAATTTGTGACCTGTGTTTTCCTTCCAGAAGTGCAGCTGGCCCGCCTGCAGGAACTGGGATTCAGCCTGGACGACTGTCGGAAGGCTCTGCTGGATTGCCAAGGTGTGTTACTTGTGTAGAAGTGTTGTTATAACCAAAGCCAAAAACAAAAACCCTGCACAATCGTCTCCGACCAGAATAAATCGCTGAAACGATGGTTTGTTAACCGGGATGATAATTCTTGCAGCCTTTCTTTGCTGGGTTCTACTTAACGACTAGACACAGTCCTCAACTTAAAGACCACAAGGGAGGTTGTGCTTGTTTTGGAAGTCCTTGAAGTTGCAACTGTTCCATTTAGTGACCATTCAAAGTTACAATGACACTGGGGGGAAAAAGGGACTTGCGGGGCCGTTTTTCACACTTATAAACGCTCGTAACCAATCTCTCACTTAATGAAGAGACGTTTTGGGGGGCCGTCGTAAGTCGAGGACCCCCTGGTTTTTTAAAACAAGCCCTACTAAACTGTCTTTCGGCCTCCTTCATCACTCTTATCGGTCAGGTCAGCTGAAGAAAGCCGCCAGCTGGCTCTTCAAGAACGCCGAGCCTCTGAAGCGCTCCGGGTTCGAGTCTTGCAGCACGGACGGGCAGAGCTCCAGGGCTCTTCGGCTGGTCTCCGGGGTGGAAGTCAAAGCTGAAAACATCTGCATTTGTTTCATTGACGACTGCATGGACTGCGACGTTCCTTTGGCGGAGCTGACCTTTTCCCGTAAGTGTTTGTGAAATGCTAGGCTCGGAAGGGACCCTGGAGGTCTTCTAGCCCAACCCCACCTACTCAGGCAGGGAAAAAAAAACCGATACCATACCAGACAAAGGGCTGTCCGGTCTCTTCTTAACAAACCTGCCCCGATTAATGGATATTTCAGGAAAGCTCAAAAACTTATTTTTCAGCCCAGAAGAGGGACTTTCGACCACAAAGGTAGTGAGGAATCTTTGTTTGACCGGAGTCACTTTTACCTTTTAAACTTTCCATTTTATTCTTTCCTAGAGATTCGAACTTTCAGCACTGACGGATCCTCCTTTCCTTACAGGTTTGAATTTCCTCCAGCATTTGAGGGCCAGCCCGGAAGGCTACGCTCACTTCACGCTCTCCGGAGACTATTACAACCGGGAACTTTCCGGTAAGGCTCGGCCGCTAGCGAAACAAGCCGGTCCTCGACTTAACAGCCGTTCACGTTGAGTGACCGTTTGGAGTTTAAAAAAAAGAAACGGCCCCGAGGCCACTTATTAGCAACCCGTGACTAACAACGGCAAAGATCCGCTTAACAACGGGGGCCGGAAAGTTCACTCAGCCGCTGCCCGGCTTGGCAACCAGAACGCCATTGCTTCCTTTCCCGGGGCTGAGGGGAAAGTGGCTGGCCCAAAGGCACGTCGAAGGGCGGGACTAGAACTCCCCGCCGCCCGGTTTCTGAGCCCTGGGCTCTGCGTAGCACCCTGAGGGCCTCTCTTCCTTTCTCTTCTTCCCCGAGGCTGGGAGCCCTTCGTTGAGCCTTGGCCCTGCTCCGTCTTTTGGCAACGGCAGCCAGCCAGCCGCCTCCACCCGTCTCGGCTGAAGCTGGAAGTCAAGGCGAAGCACCGCCTGGATGTCAACATCACCTCCAGGTTAATCGGTAGGTGGTTGTGGCCAGGAGGCCTCCTGTCCTGTCGCAGGTGGAAGAACGGCGTAAAGCTGCGGTCCCGGCTGTGTGGAAGGGGGCCTCCCTCCCTCCTTCCTTCCTTCTCTCCTTCTTCTTCTCCTCCTTCCTTTTTCCCTTCCTTCCCATCTTCCATTCCTTCCCTCCCTCCCTTCCTTTCTTTCTTCCTTTCCTCTCTCCCTGCCTTTCCTTCTTCCTTCCTTCCCTCCTTCCTTGCTTTTCTCTCCCCCTCCTCCTCCCTTTCTTACCTCCTTGCTTCCTTCTTCTCCTCCTCCTTTCCTTCCTTCCTCCTTCCCTTCCTCCTTTCTTCCCTCCCTCCTTCCTTCCTTCCCCCTTCCTTTCCTCCCTCTCTCCCTTTCTTCCCTCCCTCCTTCCTTTCCTCCTTCCCTCCCTTCCTCTCTTCCTTCTTTCCTTCCTTTCCTCCCTCCCTCCCTTTCCTTCCTTCCTTCTTTTCATCTCTCCTTTTCTTCCTTCCCTCCCTTTCTGCCCTCCCTCCTTTCCTCCCTCCCTCCCTCCCTCCCTCTCTTCTTTCCTTCCTTTCCTCCCTCCCTTTCCTTCCTTCTTTTCGTCCCTCCCTCCTTCCCTCCCTTCCTTTCCTCCCTCCTTCCTTCCCTCCTCCCTCCCTTTCCTCCCTCTCTTTCTTCCTTCCCTCCCTCCCTCCATTCATGGCTCTCTGTCTGTCTCCTTTCCCAGAGCAATATGCCAGCACCAAGCAGTCCTGGATGGCCGATTACTGCAGTCAGGAGAAAGAAACGACGGAGGTGGAATCCGAGGACTGGGTGGGCTCCTCGGTGGACCCGCCTTCCTTCAGGCAAGGTGTGGACCCCCCACCCGCACAGCCTTGATGCCTGCAGCACGGATATGGCCCCCTTAACCAGCCTGCAAGGCATTCTGTCGGATGCTTAAGACCACCCCCCCCCCCCACCTACCCACCCCATTCTACAAATGCCGTTCCCTCCCCTCCCCGGCCAATCCCTCCCTAAAAGAGTCCCGAGGGCCTTTTCTCAATGCCGCCGTCACTAAACGAACGGTTGTATCTTGGGGAACTGCCCGGGATGCCCGAAGGACGAGGCGCCTTTCTGAGTGGCCCTTTTTATTTTCCCCTCTCCCCCCTTTTTGGGTCTCGCCTCTTCATCCGGGTTCGGTTCCCCAACTCGGATCCGTAGAACTACAAGCCCCAGTCGGGAGTCGCACGCAGTTTTCAAGGCTGGGAATTGTAGTCCCAAGTGGACCCAGCCTGGCGAAAGCCGTCCGAAGGAACCTATTCCCACCCACCACCCACTTGTGACCGTTGGGCTGACCTCTGTCTTGCCTTCTGACCTGCCTTTTTTCCCCCTTTTTCTCGCTAACGTTGTCTTTCCTGTCTGCCAGGCCTCCCACTTGCCTCCCTTAGAACTAGGAGCACAGCCAGTCTGACTAACCTAGAACACCAGATGTATGCTAGAGGTATCGTATCCCCAAATTCCAGGTGCTTTCTCCTCTTTTTCCTTGCTTTTCTGACGCTTGGTTTCCCCACAGATATTTTAATTTTATATGTATATATATATATATATAAACGAACACAATACAGAAGCCTGATGATGGCAGATGAGATTCTGCCGAGACGTTGCTACAACTTCAAAAGCACAACTAGAATGACGTGGGAAAAAACCCAAACAAAGCTGAATGCCATACATATAAATACCCACAAAAACTTAAGAAAACATGTGTGTGTGTGTGTGTGTGTGTGGATAGATAGATAGATAGATAGATAGATAGATAGATAGTTCGTAGATTTTCACGGGTACAGGAGATTACAGCACAAGATCCAGGATATCTCCACAACAAAACTCACAAGGCCATCACACAGCCCATTATACCAACATCAACACCATCAACCAATCAAGAGGCAGCAGCCCAGCACACCAGCCCCCACCACCAGTATTTATAGAGAGACGGCAGCTCCGATCACACACACTGCTTGCACTGGCACGAAGCCGAAAGCACCAGCCTGAGGATGGCGATTGGGATCTCGCCGAAATGTCGCCAAGATACTCTTAATCTTACACGGGAAAAGACCCGAACACACCTAGACCTACATATATATATATATACATTCCCGTTCTTGATTCAGATTCAGTGGCAATTTTTGAGACTTTGTGGAACCTTCCACTCCCAAAATTCCTCAGCCAGCATGAAGAGAACAATTGGTTTTAAAAAAATTGATTGATTGATTGATAGCAGTCAGAACAAATGAACCAGTGGGACGACTTGTCGTGGTTGCTTCATCATTGGAGGTTTTTGAGAAGAGACTGGGCAGCCACCTGCCTGAAATGGTTGCCTGAGCAAGGGGTTGGACTAGAAGACCTTCGAGGTCCCTTCCAGCTTTATTCTGATTGACTGAAATGGTCTAGGGTCTCCTGGCTGAGCAGAGGGTTGGTCTAGAAGACCTCCGAGGTCCCTTCCAACTCTGTCATTCTGAGGAATTCTGGGAGTTGGAAGTCAAAAATACTAACCCGAAAACTTAATTGGTGTCAATGTTTTCCTAGTAAAATGCACCAGATATTTATTTATTTTTTCACAAAAAAATATTTCTTGATCAGATTAGCTATTTCAGGAAGCTTGGCCCAGATATAGATCCTGGGTTTCACATGCTGGGTTTGGTTTGTGTTATATGCGTTTCTCCCTTTCATCTTCGTCTTCGTCTTCCTCCTTTCTTTTCCCTTCCCTCTTCCTCCTTTCCTTTCCTTTCCTTTCCTTTCCTTCTCTCTTTCCCCTTCCTTCTCTCTTTCCCTTCCCTCTTCCTCCTTTCCTTTCCCTCCCTTTTTCCTTCCCTCCTTTCCAATTATCTGGGGGGGGGGGGGGAATTCTCAAATGGGAGTGGGGCCACTCGCCCCAGGCATTGAGACTGGGGAAGGTGCCTGCTTGTTCCAAAAAAACACCGCCCCGCCCCCGTCCCTCCCCACGGGGAAGACCCTTCCTGACCCGGTTAAAAGAGTCTAAGCCTCGTAAGCGAGGCCCAGCTCTGCACTCCGCTGCCTCGTTCACTTGTTCATTCTTCCTTTTCTTGCCTTCCTTCCTTTCGCAGCTGAAATGAAGGCCCCGAAGAGGAGGCAGCCCTTTGTGGCTTTCGCCCTGCGGAATCACACCGGTTGCACCCTCTGGTTTGCCACGATGACCACCACCCCAACTCGGTAAGGAAGCTGGGGGGGGGGGGCAGAGAGGGACTTCCGGCCGGCCCTTTGATGGCGCCCGAGGTTTCTCGGACCGCACAGGCAATCCTCAACTTACAACCACAACGGAGCCCCGAGGATTTCTGTCGTCCAGGGAGACAAGCGTGAAGTCAGCTTTGCCCAGTTCTTGCTTTCTGGCCACTGTCGTGAAGGGAATCCCTGCAAGTCGATACATTAGCCGGTCGTTAAGCGAACCCAGCCTTCCCCCATGGACTTCACTTGTCGGAAGGTCGCAAAAGAGACTCGCTAGATGCCGTGACCGTCATCTAAATACGAATCGGTGCCCAAGTGTCTGAATTTTGATCCCGTGGGCCAGGGGCTTGCTAACAATGGTCGCAAGTGTGAAAAAAACGGCGGCCCTCTCGGTCACTTTTTTTTCCAACTTCTAAACGGCCGCTAAGCGAACGGTTGTCAGTCAAGGACTTCCCGCATTCATCTTACAAATCACTCCAGCGTATCCAACACACTTTCCCTCCCTCCCTCCCTCCTGTTTTCTCCCCCCACCCCCCAATCACAACAACCCTGTGAAGCGGACTTGAGATAAAGGAGAGTAAACTGGCCCCAAAGTCCATCCATCCGTCCCCCACAAAGCTGGCTTCCCTAGCGAAGGCAGGACTCGAACTCAGGATCCCGGTTCTTTGCTTTCCAGCGCGGCCCTCCTGCACAGCGGGAGCCCTCCGGTCCTGCCCGAGGAAAAGGAGACGTTTCTGGACGAAGCCCATAAAGTCAGCGAGTGGCGGGAAGTCCTCGCGGGGGAAGAGATCCCTTTCGCCTTCGAAGCCAAGGGGAAACTGAGGCACAGGTGAGATAGGGGAGATCGGGGGAAGCCAGCGTCTTTCTCACCTTTTTCTGAACATCTGTTAGATTGCCAGGGTTAGTTTAGCACCGAAGGAGGAATTTTATATTTATCATTTATCCTCTTAAGATTCTTCTCATCAGTTGGGTATATTTGGTAGCCTCTCTCTGCATCCGTGTATAATATATAATCTCCTAAACCAACAGCAGTAATCATACCACACCTTGTGCATATTGTATAAAGGCTAATCCTTACACAGGTAATCCTCGAATTTACGACTCCGGTTGAGCCCAAGATTGTTGTTGTTTTTTTAAAGTGATTCTTAAGGCAAAACTAGATTTTTTTAAAAAAAGAGTCTTAAGACAAAACTAGATTTAAAAGAAAAGATTCTTAAGGCAAAACTAGATTGAAAAAAAGATTCTTAAGGCAAAACTAGATTTAAAAGAAAAGATTCTTAAGGCAAAACTAGATTGAAAAAAAAAAGATTCTTAAGGCAAAACTAGATTGAAAAAAGAAAAGATTCTTAAGGCAGAACTAGATTTTTTAAAGAAATGATTATTAAAGCAAAACTAGATGTTCTTTTTAAAGAATGCTAGGTCGCCAAGTGAGAAATTTGTAAAGTGAATTTTGCCCTCCATTTTACGGCTTTCCTCACCACATTTGCTAAGTGAGTCCCTGCGCTTATTAAGTTAATAACACGGTCGTTAAGTGAATCTGGCTTCCCCATATGGACGTTGGGTGACCCGGGATGCTGCAACCATCAGAAATAATTATGAGCCAGTTGCTGAGTGTCCGAGTTGCAGTCACGTGACCCTGTGGCCATAAGCGTGAAAAATGGTCATAACTCGTTTCAGTGCCGTCGTAACTTCGAATAGTCACTATACGAACCGTTGTAAATCAAGGACCACCTGTATTCTTATTAAATCTCACTTTATTACAACATTTTGTACTTGGTTAAACATTTGATTCGGGGTTGTAATGTGGAAAAGATGTAAGGATTATTATTATTATTATTATTATTTTCCTCATTTGGGATGTAAATTTGGGCCAGTCTCTCTCCTGAACGTCGTTCCATCGGTCTCCACATAAATTGATTTATTTTTTTTTAAAAAAAAATACCCCTCCAGGCATACCCATGACCTGAGAATTCACCAGCTGCAAGTGAGAGTCAACGGCTGGGAGGCCGTCAACCCTGTGTCCGTTGACAAAGTGGGGATATTTTTCCGGTATGCAGCTCCAGATAAAAGCAATTCTTCCTCAACTGTAAGTTCAGGCTGGAATTCTTTTATTCTTTTCAAGAAAAAAAAAAGAGCAGTTTATGTTTAACAATAAAAACACACACACACACAGATGCATTCAACTTTCTTTTTCTTGCTCTTTACGTAGGTCGGCAGCCCCATTAGTAGGACCAACATCATCCATCCACAGGTTTACGTAAGTTGGATTTCCTTCCCTCCATCCTTCCGTTTCTCATTTAGCCCTGCTTGTGTTCAACTTTGTGGTTTGTTTAAACCACCATGCCTTTCACAAACCAGGTGTAGGAGAAAGAGCGGCAGAACCCGCGGGCGGGGTCCAAAGAGGGACTGTCCGAGAATCCTTACATAGCCGCAAGCAAACTATAAGTCCAACTTCCCCTGGATTCCAGCTACCCTTACCTGATTCCAAGCCAGCGGTCTCCAAACTTGAAGACTTGTGGGCTTCAACTCCCAGAATTCTCCAGCCAGCATAGCTGAGCGTCCCTTGGGCACCCATAGAGCAAGACAAAATCAGTCGTGGGACTGATTTTGGGTCGTTGTTTTTAAAATCTATATTCCAAACATGTTTCAGCCAGCACTGAGTGAAAGAGGGAGAGAATGAGGTTTATGAAACCATCCCATCCAACACCACATTCACTCTGGCTGGATACACAATGCAAACTCTCCCCTCGTTGGAGACACCACAGTATTTAATACACCTTCAGGCACAAACATTTCCTCATTAAAAAAAAAAAAATATGGCATCTTACTAAGGGAAACCATTGTGATGTAAAAGCCTGTGCAGGTGGCTGCAGAATTGGCCTGCGTTCGTGCCCACCCTGCCCGCAAGTCGATTCCATTTCCATCTTTCTTTAAATACATATATTTCTGTACATTTTTGCAGTTTTCTTCGTTGCCTCCAGTTCGAGTGGTGTTCGCTGTGACCATGGAAGGCAGCGCCAGGAAGGTGATCACGGTTCGTTCAGCTCTGATTGTGAAAAACAAACTTGAAACGCCAATGGAACTGCGGCTGGACAGTCCTTCAGCGCCGGACAGTAAGTGCTTCGGAGTTTCAGAAGCCACGAAACAGCCGGGTTTTTGTTTTCTTTTTTCAATTAAAATGGAGCTAGAAGAGACCCCGGAGGTCCTCTAGTCCGGCCCCTTGCTCAAGCAGGAGACCTTATATCATTCCAGACAAATGGCTGTCCGGTTCTCTTCTGGAAAACCTTCCAGGGATGGAGCAACCACAACTTCTGGTGGCAAGCTGTCCCACGGGTTAATTGTCCTCTCTGTCCGAAAATTGTTCTTTAATTCTAGGTTTGCTTCTCCCCTCATCCGTTGCTTCTTGTCCTGCCTTCAGGGGCTTTGGAGAATAGCTTGACTCCCTCCCTCTTCTTGGGGGCAGCCCCTCAAATCCTGGAAGGCTGCTATCATATCCCCCACCCCTTAATCCTTCTTTTTTTCTAGACTGGGCAAACTCAGGTCCTGCAACTGTTGTTTAAATCTTCCAGCATCTTAGTTGCTCTTCTCTGTCCTTTTTCCAAAGTCTCGATCTCTTTTTTTATTGTAAGGGGGGGGCGACCAAAACTGGATCTTTTATGTGACGACTTCCTAAAATGAGGAGGGGGCCAAGAGATACGTGTGGCCAGTCATTTTAGCCAGAGAGGGAGGGGAAAAGCCCCCTGTGTTAGGGATGAATTTGAGAATCGCCCGCAAACCAAGCTGCTCTTACAGATCTCTAATCACGTCGGGCAATGAAACGTTGGGAAGAAAAAGAAAATTAAAAAAAACAGAAACAACAACCCAGCCAGCTGAGTGGAGACCTCAGAAATAATACGTGCTCTTTCCTACCTGCGTGCAGAACCTGTCCTGCTCCCCGCGGTGATGCCAGGGGACTCTTTCGCCATCCCCTTGCACCTGACTTCCTGGCGCCTCCAGGCCAGGCCGAAAGGCACCGGCGTCTTTTTCTGCAAATCTCCCATCCACTGGACGAATGTCCAGAAGACTTTGGAGGTCAGCAGCAGCGAGAGGGAGTGTCACTCCATGGAGCTGGACCACAGCCGGTTCTTCAGGTGAGTCGACGGTCCAGGTGAGGCCATTCTTTCATTGAGCCAATTCTCCCGGTGAGTCGGTTCTTCGGGTGAGGTCGTGGCCTGGAGTCTAGGGAAGGCTCTGTCGCCGGCTCTGCATCGGAGGCGGAGATGGGGCCGCGGCCGTCCGACAGTTATCAGCTGCCTTCGGAGTCGGAGATCAGTGGGGAAGAAGAACAGCTGGAGCCTGTTCCCAGTGTGCGCATGCACAGAGCTGCCAGAAGAAGGAAAACAGCTAGGGAACAAGGGTCGACTCGGGAGTAAAGCCACAGGTGGACAGCAAATGGCCAAAGGGGAGTGGGGTTTTGCAGGAGTCCATTCATTCATTCTGTTCCCGAATTCTTGCCAAGCGTTATCTGCTACAGCTCGGCGTCTGAAAGATATCGGCCCGGCAACACTCCAAGCCTGATAAAAGGTCCGTAGCTGTGAACTCTCTTGAAAGACCGTTGGCCAGGACTTTGCTGGAGAGAAATTCCCTGTACACTAAATAAAAGGGGTTTTATTGGGACAAGGAGTTGGTTTCGGGCTGTTTCGGGCTCCCTCACTTTCGGTCGTAACTCTAGGACATGGATAGTTCGTAAGAGCCTCCCAAAAGACACACACACACACACACACACACCTCTCTTTAAACTGCCTCCCGTTGTCTCCCCCACCTCACCCCTTTGTAGGTTTTGTGTGGCTATCAAGAAAGAGAATTATCCAGACTACATGCCTTCCAGCATCTTCTCGGACAGCGCCAAGCAGATTTTCCGCCAGCCGGGACACACCGTTTATCTCCTGCCCACCGTGGTGCTGTGCAACTTGCTCCCTTGCGAGCTGGAGTTCTACGTCAAGGGTGCCCCGATCAACGGGACCCTGAAACCCAGGAAGGAAGCCGTCCTGCACACTGCCGACACCTCGCAGAACGTCGAACTCGGTAAGGGCAAAGCGCCGCTTTTGCAAACTCCCTCCGGGTCGCCGGTTCCAATCCGGCTAGCCGCTGATGATGCCCGTCTGCAAATCGATCCGGTCACGTTGGTCTCCCAAAATCTTTAATTTGCCTTAAGAATCTTTTTTTTAATCTAATTTTGCCTTAAGAAGTGAGTCTAATTTTGTTTCAATAATTTTTTAAAAAAATAATTTTGCCTTTCTTTCAAGAATCTTATTTTTCCTTTCAGAAGTGAGTCTAATTTTGCCTTTAGAAATGAGTCTAATTTTGTCTTAATCAGTTTTTTAAAATCTAATTTTGCTTTAAGAATCCTTTCTTTCAAGAATCTAATTTTGCCTTTAGAAGTGAGTCTAATTTTGCCTTTAGAAGTGA